CCCAGGTGCCACATCCCTGATGAATAGTCATGCAAAAATCCTTGATGAAATACTAGCAAACCAACATCAGCAGCACATTAAAGGATAACACTCTATAGCCAAGTGGAATTTATTCCTGAGATGCAAGCATGGTTCAATGTATGAAAATCAATCAATGTAATATACCATATTAACAGAATGATGGAAAAAATCCACATGATCATTTCAAATGGTGAAGAAAAGAATTTGATACAATTCAACACTTTTCATGATATAACTCAACAAACTAGGAATAGAAGCAAACTATGTCAACATAATAAACAAATTTTCATATATGAAAAGCCCCCAGTTAACATAATACTCAGTGGTGAAAGACTATTTCAAACTCTTCCTCTGAGATCAGGAACAAGACAAGAATCCTGCTTTTGCCACCTCTATTCACCTTAGTGCTGGAAGTCTTAGCCGGAGCAATGAGGCATGAAAGAGAAATTAAAAGCATTCAAAGAGAAAAGGAAGAAGTAAAATTATCTTTGTTTGCAGATGATATGATCTTATAATCAGAAAACCCTAAAGATTCCACAAAAAAACCTGTTAGAACTAATAAGTGAATTTGGCAAAGTTGCAGGATACAAAATCAACACACAAAAATCAGTTGTGTTGGGGCACCTGGGTGGCTCAGATGGTTGGGCGTCTGCCTTTAGCTCAGGTCATGATCTCTGGGTCCTGGGATCGAGCCCCACGTCAGGCTCCCTGCTCAGTGGGAAGCCTGCTTCTTCCTCTCCCTCTGCCTCTTCCCCTGCTTGTGCTTTCTCTGTCTGTCTCTCTCAAATGAATAAATAAAATCTTTAAAAAAAAATCAGTTGTTTTTCTATATATTGACAATGAACGATCTGAAGAGGAAATAAAAAAATTCATTTACAGTAACATCAAAATAAACAAAATACTTAGGAAAAAATGTAACAAGGAGCTGAAAGATTTGTACTCTGAAAATGACAAAACACTGCTGAAAGAAATTAAAGAAGACACAAATAAATGAAAAAACATCCCGTGTTGATGGACTGAAAGACTTAATACTGTTAAGATGGTAATACTACCCAAAGCCATCTACAGATTCAATGCAATCCCTATCGAAATCCCAATGGTGTCTTCTGGAGAAACAGAAAAACCCATCCTAGAATTCATATGGAATTTCAAGGGACCCCAAATAGACAAAACAATCTTGAAAGAGAAGGGTGATGTTGGCGGTCTCACACTTCATGACTTCAAAACTTACTACAAAGCTACAATAATCAAAACAATGTGTGTGGGGCAGGTGGGGTAACAGTGTGGGACTGGCATAAGGATAGACATGACCAATGGAAGAGAACAGAGAGCCCAGAAATAAACCTTCACATATACAGTCAAACAACTCTCAACAAGGGTGTCAAGGCCATTCAATGGGGAAAGGACAACAAGTGATGTTCAGAAAACTGGATATCCACATGCAAAAGGAAGAAGTTGGACCCTTACCTTACACCATATACAAAAATTAACTTTAAATGGATCAAAGAGCAACATGTAAGAGCTAAAACTATCAACTCTTAGAAGAAAATGGGAAAAATTTCATGACATTGGATTTGGCAATAGTTTCTTACTTATGAGACCAAAAACACAGGCAACAAAATTAAAAACAGATATATTGGACTACATCAAAATTTAAGATTTGTGCATCAAAGGACACTAAGAATGAAAAGACAACCCACAGAATCGGAGTATACAAATCATATATCTGATCAGGGATTAATATCCAGAATATATAACAAACTCCTACAACTCAACAATAAAAAATAAATTACCCGATTTTTTTTTTTTTAAAGATTTTTTATTTATTTATCTGAGAGAGAGAATGGGAGATAGAGAGCATGAGAGGGGGAGGATCAGAGGGAGAAGCAGACTCCCCGCTGAGCAGGGAGTCCGATGCGGGACTCAATCCAGGGACTCCAGGATCATGACCTGAGCCGAAGGCAGCCGCTTAACCAACTGAGCCACCCAGGCGCCCAAATTACCCGATTTTAAAATGGTCAAAGGACTTGGGACACCTGGGTGGCTCAATCAGTTAAGCATCTGCCTTCAGCTCGGGTCATGATCCCAGGGTCCTGGGATCAAGTCCTGCATTGGGTTCCCTGCTCAGTGGGGAGGCTGCTTCTCCCTCTCCCTGTGCCCCTCCACCCTACCCGTGCTCTCTCTTGCTATCTCTCTCTCAAATAAATAAAATCTTAAAAAAGAAAGAAAGAAAGAGAATGCTATCGGTGAAATGAAAAACAATCTTTTGAAAAATAAAAAAGACTATGGGGAGAGTTGATAAAGAGCTAAAATAGACCAGAGGAAACAGGACATAAAGGAGGGGGAAACGGAGAGCTGATGGACAGACAGTTGATGTTCTCAAAAATGGAAAACAAATGGAACAGAAAAAATATTTTTTAAGAAAGAAATTTTCTATAAACAGAGAAAGACATGAATCAGCAAATAAAAAGAGCTCACACTATGTTCTAGAAAAATATTTTTCCCAAACTGAAAAATAATCTAGTGAAGTAACTAAACTATAAGGCAAAAGGAAGAAGTGTATAAGCCAGAAGTCAGCAAACTATGAGCCAGCAGGCGACATCACCACCTGGTTTTGTCATAAAGCTTTATTGGAACACAGAGAAGCCCACTCATTTACACACAGGCTTTCACACTACAACTGCAGTTAAGTATTGGTGACAGAGAGCACACGTCCCAGAGAGCCCAAAATACTTACTACCTGGCCCTTTACAGAAAATGCTTGCTAACCCCTGCTTTAACTATTACAAGGAAAAGAAACAAACTATCAAAAAAAAAAGAAAGAAAGAAAGAATCAGGCCAGTCTCATGTTTATAGCAAAATACAGTTGGCAGAAGACAAGGAATCAAGGTTTCTAGAATTCCATAGGAAAAACAGTGTGATCCAAAAATTCCAAAAGCAGCCATTTTCTTCTATATGTAAAAGCAACAAAAAGACATTCTTTACTACATAAACACTAAGGATATGCATATAATCCCTATGACCTTCCTGAGGTGAAAAAAATCTACTTAAAAACAGAATCCTGGTCATGAAGAGAAGCCTCAAAGAATTAACAAACGGGGAAGACGTGCGCTGAAAGGTCTAAAAGTGAGCACTGAATCCATTTAAACAAGAAATTGAGCATAAATAGCCAATTATTAGTTAGAAAACAGTTATGAAAAGATAAAATATCAAATATGAAAATTTTCTAATATTTAAAAGTTTAGAGAGAAAAGCCACATGATAAAAAAATTAATAATTTGAAAATTAATGAATAATTTGACAATATACCATGATTAAAATTCTAGACTATGCAATCTTGTAGACTGGCCAGGGAAGAGGGACGGTGGAAAGAAGGAAGAGGAGTTAAAGCACACTAACTGGGGGAGGCAGATGGTGTTTCTTTCAGGAGGCTGATAAATTGAGAAAGAAGTTTAGTATAATGTGAAATCATAAATCACTAGAAAAACTAAAATCAAGTTATATATCTTTCAATCATCTGTGAGGAAAAAAAAACACAAAGAAAACAGAAACATAAAGCAGAAAATACAGAGATATACAAAACTGACAATTTCTGTTAAATAAAACCTAAATGGGATAAAGTCACTTATTAAAAAGTACAGGATTAGATCAAAAATCAAAATTCAACAAAGTGCTATCTCCAATAGCCAAGTCTAAAATAAAAATCTCAGAAAGTTTGAAGGTTGGGACACCTGGGTGGCTCAGTCATTAAGCGTCTGCCTTGGGCTCAGGTCATGATCTCAGGGTCCTGGGATCAAGCCCCGCATCGGGCTCCCTGCTCAGCGGGAAGCCTGCTTCTCCCTCTCCCACTCCCCCTGCTTGTGTTCCCTCTCTCATTGTGTCTCTCTCTGTCAAATAAATAAATAAAACCTTAAAAAAAAAAAAAAGTTTGAAGGTTAAAAAAAAAAAATGGGTAAAGCCATACTGAAGCAAGTACAAACAAAAAAGAAGGCAGAAGTTGTAATATTCATACCCAAGTTGAACTGCAGACAGAAAGCATTTAATGGGGCCATGGCAATATTTGATAAAAATGTTCCTTAAAACCTAACAGAGTGGGGTGCCTGGGTGGCTCAGTCAGTTAAGCATCTGCCTTTAGCTCAGGTCATGATCCCAGGGTCCTGGGATCGAGTCCTGCATCTGGTTCCTTGCTCCTCTGGGAGCCTGCTTCTCCCTCTGCCTGCCACTCTCCCTGCTTGTGCTCTCTCTTTCTTGCTTTCTCTAATAAATAAATAAAATCTTTAAAAAAAAAGATATTTGCTAATAAGATCTCTATGAAAAAATTCTAAATAAAATATTAGCAAATATCCAGTAGAACATTAACATGCATACACACGTGCGTGCACTCACATAGACATCCCATAAACATGTGGGGCTTGTTCTTGAGTTGCAAGAATAAAAGGATATTAGGAATGCTATCAATATGATTTTCCACATTAGTAGGCCACAGGAAATAAAAATCATATTTGACAAGGGTCAAAACTCGTCAAACGGTACACTTAAGATATGTGCGTTTCTCTAAAAGTAAATTTCACCTCAAAAAAAGAGAATCATAAAGCAATAGTGAACTCTAGTTATTGATATGAATGCTGAAGCATTTAAGAGTGAAGTATGTCGATATCTGTAAGTTACTTTGCAACCCATCCCAAACAGAACCTGGATGGACAGAGAGATGGATGGATGGGTAGATGTGTGACAAAGCAAATGCGGGAAAACGCTTAACTAGGATCTAGACGGTGTGTCTGTCGTGTGCTTATCTCAACATTTCTGTATGCTTGAAAATATTCATATAAACTATTGAAAAAAGACAACCCCAAAAAAGTTACAACTTAACTTCCAAACTACATAATTTAATCCACAGTAAGACACTCAAAAGGCTGAAGACTTGGAAAGCCTTACCTTTGTGAGGAGGTGTGCAGAGATGAGAAGGGGCCCGCACTTACCTACAGACTGGGAGGTGAACGCAGCTACAATCTGCGGGGAGGCCAGGGCCTCCAGCCTGTTCTTCAGTGCCTCCAAATGCACACATTTTTCCGAGTAGTCTGGTGTATCAACAAGCATCATTAAGCTGTTCTGCATACCTGTCAGCTTAGCAGAAATCACAGCTATGTCCTATAAAAGACCAGAATAGAGGATATTTATTTTAAAAGATCCCAGGTCGTTCAGGGGCACCTGGGTGGCTCAGTCGGTTAAGTGTCTGCCTTCGGTTCAGGTCATGATCTCAGGGTCCTGGGATTGAGCCCTGCATCGGGCTCTCTGCTCGGTGCAGAACCTGCTTCTCTCTTTCCCCCGCTTGTACTCTCTCTGACAAATAAATAAAATCTTAAAAAAAAAAAAAAAAAAGAAATGCTGTTTTTTAAAAGAACTAAGAATGCAGTAATTGTGTTTCATTTCAGCACTCAACAGGTGTCTACAACGTGTCAGACACTGTATTAAATGTTTGAGACACAAAGAAGATCACACTGCAGCCCCTGAGTTCCCAACATATTGGGACAGCAAGATCAGGATACAATTTAAGGAGTATGGCTCAGGTGCTACCGGGGCCCAGGGGAGGGAGCAACTGAGTTTGCCTGTGAGAAGCCAGGAGCCAGCAGGGGTGGGTGGCTGCTGCAGTGGTTTAGGAGAAAGACGATGGGAAGCGTGAACAGAGTGGTGGCAGAGGGATCCAAAGAACGGACAACTGCAGAGAGATATGGGAGAGATGGGGAAGAGGGCGCGGTTAAGGACTGCTGAGGTTTCTAGCCTAGACCCTTGCTGGGGAAGTGCCGCCACGAACCAAGACAGGGAGGCCAAAGGGAAGAGCAAATGGGGAGTGGTTCTAGACAGAAATAATGAATTCAGTTTACAGTGCCTAGGAGGGAGTCCAGCCAGATGCATGTGGTCTTCTGGGCAGCTGGTTCTGAATATCGGGATAGTTGGGAGCGGCAAAAGCTTTCCAACTCTTAGCTAGTTAATATTAGTAGTGTACTGACTGCAATCACGCATGTGCCAGGAATCCAGGAAGATTAGCAACTCACATCTGTGAACCCTCATTTTTCACTGTTTATTCCTGTTTACTAATTTTTTTCCCCTCATGCACTGAGCGCTTTTTAAAAAACTTGTGAGAGTTTTAAAAATTAGCAAAAAGGGGGGGGGGGTGCCTGGGTGGCTCAGTTGTTAAGTGTCTGCCTTC